CGGTGAGGGAGAAAGAGAGGCGCGATCAATTTCAGGCCGCGACGACCGCGAGAATAGATGTAGCAACCAAACGGAATCAAAGTGATTCTAAAACGTCGAAGATAATCGCGCTTTTTCCCGATCGCGCGCTGAGATAATCGCGTTAGAATTGCGCGAGGCCGAGCTGATTACGTTTTAATACTGCCTCGATCGCTATCTGCGTGTTATAAAATATCGTTGGAGGTGCGGGCGACGCCTACCGCGATATTCTTGAAAATTCTCTAATCGCGTAGAATCGCGCATGATTTTCATGAGAACAAAGCCCTGAGACGACATTCTTTCCAGATTTTTACCCAACAATTTGCTTTCTATTTCCTTAATTCAGAATTAAAATTATTTTAAATTTTCGGCGCATATACTTATAAAATAGAAAAAAAATTTAATTAGATAATTAAATCTAATTACGAAACTCCTTAAAATTAATATCTGAATTAAGCTTCAAGCAATGTAAATGGTAAAATTTCACAATTAGCTACCAAAATATTCAAACAATTAAAGAAAAGGGGAAAATATTACATTAGATTTAATTTTATGACAGTATAATTTCGCAAAAGGAAGAAAATTAATTACGAATTCGCAGATTAGAGCAGCAGTGATAATTCTGGTGCAGCCTGTACAAAAAGAGAGAGAGGACGAGGCGGGAACCGCATTCGCGATAATTCCTCCGGCTGGAAGCACGCGCGACCGCGTACGAAAATGGCGATGTCCGCCGCGACTGTTTGCCGATATCGCACGGATTCGCGCGTGTTGTCGCAATCTAAGCCGATACGACCGATCTTTCGTCGCGCGCATAAATTAATTCCGCTAAATTATTACGTCAATAAACGTCCGTGCTTAACGCGCCGTTAAACGTCCGAGCGGCACTTCCGAGGTAACGATACGCGATTTATCGCCATGGCCGAGAAAATTCGCGAGGCCACGATTACACGCGCGGCTCTGAGTCATTTCGATGAATCCAACTTTCCGAGGAGAATGACAAAGAGATCGCGGTGACGAGATGCGCCTAAACTCACTCCGATCTCCGGACTTCGACGAACGGTCGATTATGCGTGACATCAGAAACGCAAATTGCGATTATTTGTATCTCAATGTCATAAATCGTGGCACATATTTTTTCTACTTTAATTTATTTATTATGTGAGAATAAAGTCGTTTTTGTTGTATTTATACCTTTCCTTTCTGCTTTTATGTCGCAACCTGTCACTATGTTGCTTAAGACTAATTACAGTGTTCAAGTAAGTTTATATTCTACCTATAAAATCTAATTAATCCATAATTTTATCTATAATAATCTATCTATTTTTCTCTTAAGATTATATTGTGGAACGGACAGAGTTAGAACTCATAGAATTATTTCTAATATTAGTTAAAAGAAAAAAAGAGAGGAAAGATCTTGCAACATCGCAACTGTGCAGCTTCGGATGAATGCTATTTCGCGTGTGTTCCGCGATTCTAATACATGTCGCAGTTTTTTCGAGTAAGCAGGAAACGGCGAAGCGGCCGATCGGGAATCGAGTGCGAGATCATCGCGAGGTTTTCGCGTGTAGCGTTCGATCGAGACAATAAAAAGGAGCGTCAGGCGAGGCCAGTTTACGCCAGTTTACACGCATTTCCATCGAATTAGCCTCGCACACAGCCTGTGCGTTCTTTTTGCGACATGCACGTTCTAATTACCCCGCGAACCAAGCGCTAAGCATCGCTCGACTGGGCATAGTGTAATTGGTTCGTAGAACGTAAACATCCAGGAATCTGTTTACACGATAGATCGCGCCTCTGTTATCGGAAGAAAATTGCATTCTGTGGAGTACTTGCCGCCGTTGCACGCCGGCTGCGCTCCCGCCCTTCCGGCAAGCCTGAATGGCCTGAGTCGCGCCGCAAGGCGCATGAAAATTGCACGCACCACCTCTGCACAACGTTCGAATTTGTAGTTGTTTGATATATTAATTAAGAGAACAGTGCATGTACATATAAATCTCAAGTCAACTCTATGACGCGAGTGAGACACATAAACTAATATAAGGAACACACATAACTAATAATAAGAAATATAACTCTCGACAGCACAATTATTATGCATAAAAATTAAAATTATCAAATGTCTAAGAAGAGCCACAAAGAATGATGAAGATCAAAAGTGGCGAACCAATATCAATCCCAAATTCAATAAGGATCAAAATTGTTTTAACCTTTAACAAAGAAAAAATCTGCACGCTTATAATACGTCTCTGCAATTTCGTGAATCATCCTATTGTTCACGTCTAGAATGTCAGAAATATCAAGGAAACTTTTTCAAACGCTTAAAATTTATTGGAAAAATTTCCGAATGAAGCAAAATCGCCAGAACCGAGAAAATCCGACGAGAGACGAAAGAATTTCGATTTGCGTTCGACTGTATGTGCATTCGAATCTCACCGTTTTCAGTTTTCGGACATCCATATCGCCCATACACGTCGCTAACATCGGAGACAACGAGGTTCCGGTCTCTCCGACTTGTCGGAGCGACAGGTTTCCGTGCGGAACACGTGATGACCGGCTTCGCTCGATAAAACTGACAGACGCGCGTCGCGCGTTGCATCTAACTATTCTTCGACACCCGTTTCAGCCGTGCAATTTTTATTCGATCAGCTATATCTATTTTGCTATACGTTTCTTTTTTTTCAAAGATATCAAACACTAGTTCATCACAGTATCAAATCATGCCGTAACTGATGTATTTTTAAATTGGAAAAATTCTATACAAATTGTCACATTTTTAGCACGACTTGATTAATATAATAAAAATATTAGGTTAAAATATTAGCATTTTTGAACAGTACTTTTTAAAAAATTTAGAAACTTTGACGTTAACAATTGTGCGAAAAAATAACAAATATTAGTTAAATGACAGAACAGTAGAATGATAATAATTAAACAATAGATTATTCATATAATACTTGCTAATTTCATACTCGCTAATATTTCGATTCCGTCCAAAGTTCATAAATAATTTATTTTTTTGAATAGAACTTTCTTCAATTTCGTTACATTTTGAGTAATTATATGCTTGTCTAAAGCGGACGACAAATAAAATCAGAGATATTTGATATTTTCGTTTCTCAAAGGGTGAATTATTACAGATTTGCATCGATTTTAGGGGAAAACGTGTTTCGCCACCGGAGCAACGTGTTTTTCAACTCACCAGTACAAAAGAACCTTGGTAAACGTTATCCGACACAATGGCGCGATTGGAATCGATCTGGATCAAATTCGCTCGCGTGAAACAACTCGCGGATTAATAATTACAACGATGCTTTTCTATCGAAGCGAAATTATGATTCGATATTACGTGGACACTGCGTGCTAGCGGAAATTTTAGCCGTCACATGTATTTTACACGTAATCGTCGAGGATTTATAGCGCGTAAAAAAATATAGCAGCAAATATTTCAACAAAAAAAAAACCACTCATGATAATTATGCGGCTCATTTCGGCAAAGTCATTTGTCGAATCACTTTTTCACATACATACAACGATTTATCGCGATAGCTATGAGAATGCATTTGTTATAATTAATACTTGACGAATGGAAAACATTAAGCAGTAGCGCGAGAAAAATTTTTCGTAATATATATCGCTAATATTGGAAAGTTCGTAAAACATAAAATTTATATCATCCATTAAAAACCATTAATAACTGTCAATTTTTTAATGAATATTTAATATATAGATTCAAATATTTTACAAATCGTACCATTATTTTTTTTACCAGTATTATTATCATTTGATAATATAAGAGTAATATAATGAATAAATGTAATAAACTTGGTTTTTTAATTCTTAACGCTCTACTCTCACACTTATTTTTAGTCATTTTTCTCCTCACATCAGATTCCAAGGTTCTTTTATTTCACTATAGCATAACAATTTCAGCAAATAACTGAAGAAAACAAAGTAAAAATTTCATAATTAAATGGATGACAGAAATTGCTTGTTGCACTGACAATAAATTGCGCAGATGACATTAGAAGCAAGAGAATTTGAAATATGCTTTTCAAGGATTTCGAATGAAACCATCTGTGGATCACTAAGAGCTTAAAGAATTCATTCAACAAAACGACTGTTTTCGATCAGTTCGAACCAGTTAATTTTTCCGAAATACATTCGCTGATATTGCCCTCGCGTCGACAGTAAGAAAAATCGAGCAGCACGAACAAACAGACACAGCGTGTGAAATACCTCGCCCGTGGCGATCATAATCAGGTCAATTCGCCGCCAGGGAGAGAAAGAGAGAGAAGAAGAAGCGGTCGAAAGGTAGAATGCCCGTAGAAGATGGCCGTAGACAAAACAGCGATAACAAAAATGACGTCTCGAAACAATTGCGCCGTCGACTCTGAATCTCTCGCTCTATCTGAGGACGATATGTCCGACGATTTGTCGTCCGCTCGTCTCAATGCACTCGTAATCGCTGGCGAAAACGCTCGCGCGCGTGAGCGTACGATCTTTTCGGCCATTTTGGTGTCTAAGAGCTAGTGCGCTTCGCGCGGGCCGTCGGTCGGCCCCTCTTACAACTTTTCTCTCCTCTCGTCGTCTCCTCTCCATCTTTCGCTTCCTCTCCTCGCGCACCTAGAGATACATACGATGACACGTGCACATTCTCCTTCGACGCACACGCGCGAACGCGACGGCAAACGGGCGCGAGCGCGAGTGCGCGGGCGCGCACTGGAGGACACTCCTTCTCACTCGCACACGATCTACATACATGCACAGAAACATGCACCTCTCTTTCGTTCTTCCTCGGCACTCCATTCTCACTTCGCTTCGTATATCTCTAATTGCCGCGCGCTCATAGGGAATCGTCGGATTTCGGAGCGCCGTTAATAGACGCACTTTTTACGCTCCCTCCCTTTCCCTCTTTTTCTCTCTCTCTCTCCTTTTCTTTTCTTACAATTTCACAATTCGCGAATAAAACGACAACTACTCACTTTCGCGGTGAAAAGAACTGTCGCGCTTCTTCAGAGCTTCTCGAGACGGCTCGCCGAAGCTCCGAGCAGCCGGTCTTCGCGATCGGCGTGCTTCCCCGACGACATCCTTCTTCCACCCCCTCGGGACAATCTTCGCTCCGAAGTCTTCTTATTCCGCGCTAATTTCCTCTTCTCAATATACACTCGCGAAAATGGAGCACGAGCGATCGCGAGATAACAAGAGCCACGTCGGGCGGCCTGACGACACGCGGACGCGCGGGCGCCGCGACGATCGACGGATGCACCGATGCACCCCCGTCCCGCCCCCTCCCTTCGTCTCTCTCTCACTTTCTCTCTCTCTCTCTCTCTCTCGCTCTCTCTCTCTGGAAGGAGCCTGTTGCTCCGTTTCGCTGCGGTCTACGCGATTCTCGTCGAGCACCGGTGTTCTCCGTTTCGCACCCCTCGCGATCACGATGCGGTAACGATGTCGCGGATACCACAACGATTAACAACGACGAGGATCTTTACTCTCGCACGTCGATTCCACCCGGTTGATCTCTCGTGTTCTTCCTCGTTCTGTTTAGTCTCGTGCCGATCTGCAGCGATGGCGAACTCGCAACTCGGAGGTTGTTTTTATTACGATCGACAATTCAAACCGAATCCGGCGCGCGTGCACAACAACAATAACAACAATATATAACAACGACGGCGGCGGCAGCGGCGACAACGATTCGCGTCTCGATCGGCGGGATGGGATCTTTCGTTTCCACTTTCGCGGCCTCTCTACCCTTCACGATCACCCTCGTTCCCGGTCTCTCTGTCTCTCACTCTATTGTCGACCAAGACGGACCAAGAACCTCCGTTTCTTCTTCCGATTTATTTTCTCCTTTCCTTCCTTCCGTCCTTATGCACCGCGTTCTTTTTTTTTTTTTTTTTCGTTCACTCCCTGCACTCTGTCCACCCCTTGCGTCACTCTCCCCCTGCTCCCGGTACTCGCGCGTTAAACACGGGCGAGAGGGAGACGAGACGACGACACACGCACACGCACTCCACTTGCCCAGGCCTCGACGTTTGATCCGGCTCCGGATATGCGACGTTAAGTCGAGTTGCGTTGGGTCGCGCTGCGCTCCCGTAACTGCATCCGCGTCGGGCAGCACGGCTTGCGCGCTAGGAGCGCCGCCATCCGACCACCCCACCATCATCTTCGGTATCCTCCACCACCACCCAGCACTACCACCACCATTACCGACCACCACCACCACCACCACCAACCACCACCACCAGCACGACTACCACCACTATCATCACTGCCGCCGGCACCACTACTTACTATTACTACTACTACTACCATCAATACCCGTACTACTACTACTGCTATTACTACTATTGGCAACGCAAATAAGCACACTACCACTAACCACCATCGCACGTTACCAACACCACGACCTTCCTCTACGCTTGCCGTCACACCATCGCGACCGGTTACCATCACCATCATCCGCATGTCGCAGACGACGCCGACGACGACGGTGAAGCAGCACGACACGATACCGGCGCACACGAATGCCCCGATGCATCACCCGTTCTCCGGAGTGCACGTGTGTATGTATAGATGCGCGTCTTTAACGGCCACCGAAAGCCACGAAACGCCAAGCCGTTCCTGCACCTCGCGCCCGTCATCGACGTCGACGTCGTCGTCATCGATGTCATTGTCGTCGTCGCCGTTTGGTCCAATTGCACATTTTGCGTGCGCGCCCGCTCGCCGATTCTATCTCTTTCTCCCTTCTCTGTGCTGTCTCCGTCCCGTTCTCTCTTCCTCTGTACCTGCGTGCACGCCGAGTACAGAGCGCTGCAAAAGTTTCGACTTCCTTCGCGAACTCGATGTTTCGGAAAGACGGAGGGAAGATAAAGGCCACTCGACCGGCTCTTGTTTAGCATTTCTAGCGCGCTCCTCGTATAACGTATAAGACCCAAATAAAGATACTAAAATATTTCGATAAGATAAAAATTTTTTATCTTGAAGTACTCTGCTTTTAACTCTTATTAACAAGAAAAAAAGTTCAATAATTTTTTTTGGAAAAATGCTATTGATTGTGATTTGAACCGAAATTTCGTATTTTCCGAATGAAATAAAAATTGAGAAAAATTTGCAGATTCGTCATTTCGATCGTCAGTACTTTCAATCTCCTCGGCTCTTCAATTCCGCGCGATCGCGAACAGAACGGTCCCACTTTCTTGGCGCAAGCGTGATCATTTTCCCCCGTCATTCATACATCCGTCGGAGTCCGTGTGCCACGCTAACGCGTGTCGAGTAGGAAAATGGAACGCGCATACTGACGAGGTTAAATCGCCCATTACGATTAACATTGATATTCGAGATACGAGGCGACGCCTTAACTTCGAGCGCGGCGGCAACTTGGCTCGTATACATGGTATAAATCCGCGACGCCGGGGCCGACTCTCGAGTAACGCAAGCAGCTCGCTTTTGTGACGTATCATAGTTAATCGCGAGAGCGTTTCGCGCGTGTCTTCCCGGCGACACTGAGATTTGAGAGCGCCGTCACGAATTCAGTTCTTATGCTTTACCAAGCTAAATTGGATCTTTAATTATGCTTCGACACTTTACTTTACATCGATTCGATAAAAAGTGACATTTTATTTCTCCTATCTGCTTTGCCGATTTGCATAGATTACTTTCAAGTAGAACATACATGAGTGGCAATTTTCACTTTTTAACATATACCATTTTTACTTTTCAATATTCAATGCATACGTGTCATTGTATTTCAATAGCATTTGAAAATTAATGTTGCCGATTAATTGCAATTCAACCGATTGACCTCAACGAGAGACTCTGCAATTCTGTTGTAACAGAAATCAATGCCTTAAGAACTTTGGCATTTCCGGCAAACATCGCGTCGTGCGATAATAACGAATTTGCAATGTGGCGCTTATCAAACGGTTTCGCGAGTTTTCCCGCGCACGATCGCGACGTTATTTGTCTTTGTTTCGCGCTTGCAATCTGATTTAAAGGCTACGTGTTGCGTTAGCCGAAGACACATCAACTTCTATCTTTAGAGCGAACGCTCGCTCATTTCGTAGAACTCGCGCGCGAAATACACACACAAATGTAATCGCACGCGCGCGCACACATTCGGCTCCCCGGAACCTGTTCCAGTCACATGGTCGCTTTGTCTTACGCTCGTAGATCGCTTTAATGCATTCTTACATGCGAGTCTCTATTGATTGTCCTCCGTCGCGAACGCTTGCCAACTCTTCTGACGCGTCTCTGCATTCGAGAACTCGTTTTGAATAGAAGACTCTTCTATGAGAGAGAAATTTCACCACTTTACCTTTCCCAAATTTTACCGTGGAGAACTATAGTTATAAATATGATTTTTTCAAAATTAACATTAAAAATTCTCACTTTCAATTAAAATTAGCAATATGATAATATTATTGTATATTATATTATTGTAATTTTTTTGTATATTAAAAAATACATATATGTTATACTGGGAAACGTAAAATGGATATTTTTGCTTTCTACTACATAAGAGACAAAAAAAAATTGCTCTAAAAGGTAAGAAATATATTTTTTTCTATGTAACAATTAATATAAGAATAAAGATTAAATTAGTTTCAACAAAACTGAAACTTTTGGATTGCAAAAATATATCTACATTCTAAAAATTTTTCAGTTAAATTTAGTTAGACTATTTTGTCTTTAATACTAAAATTTTTCAAGTTGTGGCAGGTCACGTTATCGTATCAAATTCTTGCTGACGAAAACTCATTTCCAAGTTTGCACTCGCAACTTTTAGACTTTTGCTAATTCTACGAAACATCTTGCACCTGTTCCACTTCATATTCATCACAAAGAAAAAAATACAATTTCAAATTTTCAAAATCAAAAATTTAATTTTATTATTAATCCAACTTCTGAATGGAATATTCTGGTAAAAAAATAATTTTGATGATAAAATTAAAATAATTGTTGCATTGTAGTATAAAATCGGTATATAAAACTGGCATTTTAATCTTTATGCAAACAACAATCATATATACATGTTAATTTTTAAAAATTTATTTATTTAAAATTTAAAAAATTTTTTTCTGATAAAAGTTTTTGACTAATGCAACTTTAAATACAAGAAACATGTGCAAATTGTTTTTCTTTAAATTAAAACTGCCTCTGAAGTAATTAAGTAAGACTCTTAATTAGCATATTACGAAAAACATCGCGACGCGGCTCTTGCGGAGCTTCGCGAATTCGACCCTCGCGAAATGTCGCGACCGGAGTTGCGTAACAAACGCCGACGTTATTCACGCGCATGGCATGCGCGTGGCCTCGTCATCGCACGCGGATTCACTTTTTGAGGATCATCGCGTAACGCGCGATGCAACGACGGCGGTATCGCGAAAGACGTCTGCGCACGGCCAATCGCGGCGTAAAGGCGGAAAGAAACTCGCCCCGCATACAACGGCGTCGCTCCAATCAAAATTATCTTGATCGGTAACACGTACTGTCTACGAATTATGCCGTCTAGTCACGGACGCAGCAACACCGGCTGGCACCGCAATTTGTATGTCGCCTACGATGTTTTCCGCATCGTGACTTCTAGTATTCGAGATCTATCAAGTGGCTTCATGAAAAATGCAAATTCGCACAATCCGCGAATATTCGCGACGAAAATTGGAGAATCGAAAGAGCCATTACACGTATTAATAATGTTGAATTGCATTTCACCGAGATTGCTCTTTAAATATGGTCTAACAGCGTTGTTACGTTGGAATATCGAATCTTCCAAATTATGGTTTTGTAATTGGACAGAATTATGCAAGAAGAATTCAATTACAAAAGCAATATGAAACGAAAGCCGCTTTCGTCCGCACTTAGATGAAATAACATTTCGGAATTGTTAATCAGAATCCTGAAAAAGGATTAATCAGAATTCTGTCACGTTTAACATGGCGTTAATGTGGAATATTACGATCGATGATCTACTAAAACAGAGTCGTAATCGAAGAACAAGCTTTTAAAACTGCTTGCTTCATGCATAATTTTACTCTCTGGCCAACTACATTTAATTGAGAAGTATAAATATCTGTTTCTCCTCTATTTCCTCTCTATATATCTCAGAGATAGAGCGCAGAGCGATTAGTTATTCAAATATTAACTTGATAAACATTAATGCTAATAATATCTTATTGTTCTTAGAATTTAACTGTAGAAGATTAATGTATAAGTATCTAAATTGTAATAAAGATTTTAAAATATATATCTAATAACATGTCTGCATTCACCGGCTGCATTTAAACTTTTTCTTCCATTATTATTTAATTGATAAGTAAATTTTATATATTATTGATATAAGAAATTGATATTAAATGCCTGTTATTTACATTGAGAAAATTTTTAGAAAATCAACACACACACACACACATACACGCGCGCGCACACACACACAAACTTTTTTAAAAACGTTAATAAGACGCTAAGTAATAGTATAACTCTTATAAATCACGACAGATATATTTTAAAGTAAAGCTTTATATAAAGTTAAAAGTGGATAAAGCACGTTCGAAATGACCGTCTCGTATATTTATTATCGCTATACTTCGCGTTTGTTTCAAGAAAAATTTTCTCATAACGCATTGCATAAATCCTTCTCTCTCCAATTTATTTACTGGAATATTTGTACACGAGTTCCGCCGCTCCGGACTCGCGCCTTAAGTACGGCGCATCGCGGCCGTGACACTTTGACTAGGAGACAATCTAATATGCAGCTCGTCGCTGCGTTGCAAAATTTAAACGTTGCCCGACGCGTCACAGTTGGACGGCCGTTTCGTCGCAACGAAAAATCACAAGGCACGAGAAACGAATCGCATCAACGATTCAAGTGGAATTCGATGTTTCGAATTTAATTTATAGAGAACGGCGCCATCGACCCGTTACGGAGAGGGTAAGACGACGGCTCGGAGTCGCGCGGTCAGACTCACTCGCCTCACATGCATTGTGCGCTGAAGAGACGTCCGAAGCACGTTCGACAGTCATACTTTCTGGCTAAATCGCAGTCACGACAACAACATTATTGTCACGTGAGAGTCATGAACTCAGATGGCAAAACGGTACGGTCAGTTATACAATGTATGATTCTATAATATTTCCTCGAACACCCGATAATGTTACGATTTAAAAATAGGAAATTGCATATATGACTTATGTAAAATATAGAATTCTTCGCTGTTAAGATAGAGAAAAAAATAACTTTGTATTTTAATACTTATTTGTATAAATATAAATTGCAAACAAAAATACAATTATATCCTAAACAATTATATGTATATGTACATACATTAAGCACTGGCAAATAAAAAATAACGGGCGATATCAATGTGTGTAATTACGCAACATAATAGATAAATTTATTCACTCACCAGTCGTTGTATCCTAGCTAAGTATTCTGCCAGCTGTATCTGCAAAAATCAACATATATTTTAATTATCATAAATTATTATATCTTTCAATTATTTTAATTTCGATTAAAATATAATTATATGCAATAAATTGTGTGAATAATTCCTTAAAAATTTTAATAATTATTTAACAATTGTTTTAATAAATATTTTAATGAATATTTTCAAACATATATATATATATATATATATATATATATATATATATATATAA